ATACTGCTATAATATAATCCTTATTTTCAAATATTATCAAAACAAATTTTATTTAAATATATTAAAATTTAAAAAAAGTAGATCATAACAATATTTATGATAATTTTCTAGGCAAATTTTCCTGGAAGAGCCTACAGTTTAAGAGATAATTTTTTTTTTTAATATTAAGGTAACCACTTGGAGGTCTGGCACATTTTACTATAATGTGCCATATAAACGACCCGAGTCTGCTACATTCTACTAATTTTAAAACCTCTAGTAGACCCGGGGTCTGTTGTACAGATGTGGGTCTGATAATTGGGAGGTTTTTATATGAGAGGGTCTAGTAATACGATTTTAAGAAAAAACCTGTAATATGCATTTTAATAATTATAGAATTCGATTTTTGACAATATTATTTTAACTTTAAATATCGATATGTATAAGTATTATCAGATATTAAATTTTGTAAAACATAACTTTTTCTTAGCTTACTCAAATAATTTTTTGTTTTTGAAATAAAAGGAGGCTTGAAAGCAGTGCTGAAAATCTAGTGAGCTGCAGTGTATATAAATTTTTTTTTAAATATGTGCAATAGAACAAAGCACCAAACAGATATATAATCTAATCAAATCTATTGCACTTTAAAGCCTAAAACAGATATAAATTTAAAATTTTAATATGCGCAAAGACCACATATTGTTAATTTTAATGGTCACATCGCCTTTTCGCATATTAATTTTCAATATTTTCTGAAAGTATAATATGGTTTGGGAAGTATTCAAATATATGAAAAAACATAGAATTCAACTGAATTTTATGATTTATGCAAAGATTCTGATATTGAAAGTGAAAACCACTTTAACAGCAAGAAACTTTACAAAGAGACAAGAAGTTCGATTATGAAATAACAAAAAAAAAAAATAGAACACAAAAACAAGTGTGCTTTTTTTATTTGTGACGAAGATTTTTAGCATAAGTAATAAAGCAATAATTCGTCAATGTTTGTAATATAAAAAGGGTGAAGCACTTGAACAACTATTTGAATCAAACAATATAATGACTTATCATAAAATGACTTGGTTTATGGAATAATAAGAGATTTAAAATCTCTTGCTGTTACCAATTTCAATCTATATTATAATTTTTTATAAAGGTACTACGATAGTAATTCATTGAATTTGGCCCAGGAACAATCATAAGGTTTATAATTGACCTATTAATATGATTGACATGTGCAAATTTTATTTTATCATTCATATCTTAAAAAAAATTTTCGTGTTTTATATTCTTGTCGCACCTTGAATAAGACAGGTTTCCTGCTAAAAGGTAATGAGCAAAATATCATTTATTAAATATTGAGGTATAATAACTAAATAAATATTCAATTTTAGTAGAACAAAAATGAGACATAATCAAACAAATCTAAAACAAGCAAATATCACTAAAAAAAAAAAAGAGCTTGGAACACTCGTGAGAAATTAGCGATTATTACATATCTGAAAAAAAATCCTATGGCTAGTAAACAGAGCATTGTGGAACAATTTAACATAACCTCAAAACAAGTGCGAGAGTAAATCAAAAAAAAAATGAATTAAAAAATGTTCCATTATATGTTAAATAGTTAAACATTGGTATACGCCCTAAGTATCCTCTTTTAGAAGCTGATCTTAAAGTATGGGTCAGGGTCTTTACGTTCAAAACAAAAAGTTGTATCTTGAAACATGATCAAAATTAAAGCAAAACAGCTTACAAGCCAGTTACAGTTTATTTCACTTTATCCAACAATTAGTACATGCAAGTGGAGTAACAAATGGGTAGAAGGTTTTATGCGTTACAACAAATTTAGTGTTCAGCATTGTACTACAGTTGCATAAAGATTGCCAGAGGAATTAGAATTTCAAAAAAGTGAATTTTTAAGTTATGTACTGTATCACCGAATGCCTTATAATTATTCACTTTCACTGATAGGAAATATAGATGAGACACCACTAGCATTTGATATGCCTAGTAATTTTACAGTTGAAGAAACTGGTGCTCAAACCATCAGAATTTGCATCTGTGGATATGAAAAATCTAATTTCATGGTCGTTTTAAGCTGTTTAGCTGATGGAACTAAATTGCCCCTCATGATAATTTTTAAATTAGTAAATGTACTATGACAATCATTTTCATCAGGTCTTGTTATATGTGCCAATTCAGAAGGATATATGAATGCTGAAGAAATGATTTTTTGGATAGAACGTATTTGAAATCGTAGAGCACCTTTGCCTTCCAATTCTCGTTTATTATTAGTTTTAGATTTATTTCTGGATCATATTACAACTCCAGTTAAAAATCATTTTAATGAAAAAAATACTAACATTGCAGTTATTCCAGGTGGGCTTACCAAAAAATTGCAGCCTTTGGATGTATACATTAATAAGTGTTTTAAAGAAAAGGTAAAATAAATTTTTTATTTAAATAACTTGTTATATTGAATTGCAATTCTTGTGAAATTCATTAAGCTTTTAGAAAATTGAAAAAGAAATACTATCATAAGTACCCGTATATAATATAAAATAATTTATAAATTTATTCTCTAACAAAAATTTCTTTTAATAGGATTTAGATTCAACTAAGTTTTAGCTTAGTGCAGTGAAGTATACTATTATTCATTATAGCTATTATAAATATTTTTTTTTCAACTAAATGACATCATTATAATAAGAGTTTGCTTGTACCATTATTTATATCTTCTGACAATTAATTTTTTATGCTTTTATCAAGAATGTGCATATTTTTAAGTATTTACAACTTGATTTTTACTATTTGGTTGTATAAAATTGATCAAAAGATATAATATTTATAAGTTATTTAATAAGTTTAATAACACAATTATTAATTTGTCTTTAAGTATCATAATTTCTACCTTGATTGGATGAGTGAAGAAGTTAAAAAACTGACATCTACTGGCCGTATCCAACGACCTGCCTATAATGTGATAGCTTAATACTGTAGATAAAAAAGTATGGGACCAAGTCGACTCTGCCTATATTATGCGCTCATTTAAGTGTTGTGGCATCTCCACCGCCCAGGATGGATCTGAAGAAGATGTAATGTTTAATTATAATTGGGTAGAGAATCCAGAAGCTCGAAGTAAAAAAGGTGATTACATATATGTTAATATAGATAATAAAAGCGATAATAAAAGTGATAATAAAAGCGTTGTTGATTTGACCCGAAATGATAGTAATGATGATGATAATAACGATAGTAGTAACAAGAAAAATAATGATGACAGTGACAATGATATTATAAATGAAGATGAAGATATTAATTGGAGTGGAGATAAGAATAATGATGAAAGTGAAAATGGTGACGCAACTAGTAAGTACAAAGATTAAAAAATTTTAGATCTAAATCTTGATCGTTTTAACAATATTAACCAAACAATTATATATCAGGCACAAGATATGTCCTATTAAAATGGCTTAAAATGTTGTACTTATAGATCAAATGAGATGACTTACTATAATTTTATATGTAAAATTTGTAAAAAAAATTATATTTTTTTAATTTATTTAAGAAGGTAATTATAAACCCAACTTTAAACTTTAAATATATATTCTTTAGCATTTTATCACTCTTTGTTTAAAGTTACAGAGTTAAACACCAAATAGTTTTGGGAAGATCTTGATCTAAAGTTGTTTAATTCTTTACTATGTTCTTTATAATAATACTTTGTGTAACTACTAATTTGCAGATCTCTATGTTCACGCCTTTAATCCCAAGTATCTTGGGATCCACCAAGCCAATTTTGATGATTCAACCACTATTAGAACCAGAAAAACCTTCTCTACAACTTTACTTAGAAGCTAAAGAGATCTTTGCTTAATAAAATTTTTTGCATTCTTTAAAAAATTATTTTAGCCAATTATATAATTAATTGGGGTGAGTTATTCATTTGACTTAAAGAACATAGTAAAGAATTAAACAACTTTAGATCAAGATCTTCCCAAAACTATTTAGTATTTAACTCTGTAACTTTAAACAAAGAGTGATAAAATGCTAAAGAATATATATTTAAAGTTTAAAGTTGGGTTTATAATTACCTTCTTAAATAAATTAAA